AACACCCACTTTGGAATCAACACTCCTGGATCTAAGTTCTGGCTCTGTCACTGAGAGGCTGTGCAACCTTGCACAAATTACTTAAGCTCAGTCTTCACTTACACATCTGTAAAACGGAGATAGTATCTTCCTGCTAGAGATTCTCTAAGAATTACATGAGATAATCTATGTAAAGCACCTAGTGAGGTGCCTGGCACAGTAAGTGTGCAATAGGTAGTAGCTCTTATTATTACTGTCCAAGGTTAGCTGCAAAACCAACCAAGTTCGCCTCACTCCAAATGGTTTTATGAGGTCAGGGGGCTAACAATGTGGTCACAAATAAGTACAGTTTTTTGGTCATGTTTCAAATCTTGATCATTCCTTGACGATACATCTGTATTTTTAAGTCGTAATTAGTTGAGTTAGCACTTTTTAGGCTACAGGAAGACACGACTTGTGCTGTCACACATAAAATGCTAACGTACTTACCACCACCTCGACAGGCATTCCTTAACTCCTCAAACATTAGTTTTTCCAGAGCATCATTCACATAGAAAACTCCTTCAACCTGACACCAAAGGAAAGGAAAAACTATGTCTGAGCACATGTACATGAAAGGTAGGCACTGGATAGAATACCAACACTGTAATGCAGTATTTACTTTGCTTTGCTCTTCACGAAACACTTTTATATTGCCTTAAACAAGCAGAAAATTCCCATCAAAGATGATAAAATGTTCCCTTCTTCAATTTTATCTTAAAAACATATTTTGCAATGTTAACAAACTGTTTTGTTTATTCTCCTCTCAATGCTACACCAGAATTTAACAGGTAAAATTTTTCTTTTGTGTGTGTGTGAAAAAGAGGTCTTCCAACTATGCTCTCAGTAAGGCCAATGGTCTCATTACTCCTGTGCTTTAAAAATATCAGTGGGTTTTGAAAAGGCAGATGAATCAAAACTCAAGATTCTATAACATAAAAATGCAGTCATCTGACCTTAGTGTATTTTTTTCTGTGCCTAAGACAACAGCACATTACACTTTATTGTGTCCTGTGCTGATTTACAAATCGAGGCTTAGGTAAATAGTAAAAGAATTTTAACATGCAGCTCTATAGCTGTGTGTTTAATTCTATAAACTATATAACTTTAAGAGGATAAAGAAGCTTGACAATAGAGGTATTGGAAGATACAATTATGTAACACCAAAGACCCAAACAATTTTATCAGAGATCAAATATTATGAAAGAGCTGCCCAGAAATGAAGGACCATGAATTTAACACTTAATAATCTGGACAAGTTAAATTTCTTTCTTTTACCAGAAAGATGACTATCTCAGCATGAATAATAATGTACAAGTTGATGGAAAATGTCTTCAGTATAATTTTCTAAGGGCCACATTTATTAATTCACTGGACGTTTACTGAGGGCTTAGTAAGCATCAGGCAGTATATTGGGCTCAAGAGGAGATAGAGAATATGCAAGATCTTGCTTTTGAGGAGTTCCCTGTCTAGGTGGCAACCCAGACTAGAAAATTAAGAGTGTAATGAGGCAAGTATGACAGAAGTACTGAGTGGTATGGAAGAACCTGATGAACAAGTGGCTCAACCGTGGTCGGCAGCCAGGCCTCAGTTTGCTCACTTTTTGTGAATAGTTTGTTCACTGCTTGAGCTAGTTCTTAAAGATAGAGACATCACTAGAGCAGCAACAAATGGAGAAGCTGAACACAAAGACGGCATAAAGATGGGAGGGGAGTGTTTTTAGGGAACAAAGAAGAACTTTTAGTGCAGCATGTTGATCTTAGGGGAGGAACAGAGACTAAGAGAGATATGATCATTATTAGTGTGAAATTCACTACTCTCATGAGAATGAGAAAACAATTCAAGCTCAGCACAAGGGTAAGTAACTTTCAAAGAGCAATATATTAAGATTTCAACTCTTCATTCCCAAGGGAGAGGTGGTAGTAAAATGTTGTACAAGTAGTTAAACTAGAACTGCCTAGCAAAACCGGACTTGTTCTTAGGCGGAACTGGCAGCAGTCTATGCATCAAAAGTTAAGCCAGAATTGCTGCCAGACGATAGTGTATGTGTTACAATCTTCTTACAATCATCATGTTATGAATTTATTTTCTACTCCTGCATTCAGGAAACCAGAGTCAACAAACTGGTGATACAGAAAACAGAGCAAAAAGGAGTCAGAACCGTGGGCTTTTTCTGCCCTCCATGTCTAGCTAAGTGCTTTGCTCACAGAGGACACTTAAGTTTTGATACTGAGAAAAAGGGTGGAGTGGCTCTCAGGAACGTTTACCACGACACAGGATCAAAAACGTTCAATATACTGACGGGGCACCTTAAGGGATTTCAAAAGCCACTTAACAACATACGCATCAAAGCCTCACAAATGCCTTCTTTCTTCATTTTAATGGAAAATAATAATAATGAACACAAAGGGCAAGGAAGCCTGAGATACAGCAAGCCCAGGTTTTCAAAACTCTCTGGTATTGGGTGGGTGGAGTGGCTCTCAGGAACGTTTACCACGACACAGGATCAAAAACGTTCAATATACTGACGGGGCACCTTAAGGGATTTCAAAAGCCGCTTAACAACATACGCATCAAAGCCTCACAAATGCCTTCTTTCTTCATTTTAATGGAAAATAATAATAATGAACACAAAGGGCAAGGAAGCCTGAGATACAGCAAGCCCAGGTTTTCAAACTCTCTGGTATTGGGCTCCCAAGTCTCCATCGGGAATACATCATCCTGTCGGAAAAAGAAGTGAACTGGACATCAAGCCCTGCTGAGCTTCTTACTAAGTGGGCAGAGGAAGCTGTGTCACGGCCTGTTCCTCACGATCCTTCTGTGAAGTATTAAAAACAAACAACCCTGCCCTGTGAACTTTTTCGAAAAAAAGCGTTTTATTCAAAACCAACATGGAGCAGTCAACGCTAAAAACCTGGTTCAGCAAACACAGGTCTGCCAACGTCACATAAGCGACTAGCATGACGCAGAGGAACCGAATTCGTCTCAGGAACTTTACCCCGTACTGGCTGTGCCGCTTTGCTGTAAACCACCGCCAATATCTCTGAAGTTCAGGAATGTAACACATCTGACGGAGCGTTTACGAGACATATGTGCGGACACGCTCTGCAAACGTCAGCTTTCGATTGGATTCCCTAGACTCACTCGGCCCGGCCCGTCCTCCCGGTTTGCGGAATCTCTTCGTAGGGAGGCGGGGCCGGCACGCGGCGGGCCGCCCGGGGTCGACAGCGCGACTGGGGCGGGCCGGCCGGGAGGCGCCGCGGGGTCCCGCCGCGAAGACTCCTCGCCCGCCTCACCTGCATGTTGGGCACGAAGCCCTTCTTGATTCTCCAGCAGTTTTTATTGATCTTTTCCAAGAACTGAAGCTCATCATTATAGCTGCGACTCATGGCGGCGACAACAGCGGAGTAAACTCGCGGATCGGCTTTGAGGAGCGGCTGCCACGCTGTAGCCCTCACTGGAGCGCCACCGTCCGCAACTCAGCGCGCAGGCGCGGCCGCGTGCGTGGCAGGTTTGGGGGACGGCAAGCGACGAGGCTCGAAACACTCACCGTTCGCTTTTCTCTCGTTGAGTTAGACTGCCCTCCAGTGTTTACCTTTTGGGATATTTACTGGTTATTCTCTTCCAGGCTAAAGCTAAACTAAAGCCAGTAGTTTTTAGTATGATCTAGTTATCCTTGGTTTTGGAAGTGCTTTTCAGCCCTGGAAAACGCACTGAATCTGGATCGGGTCCAACTGCTCTAATGAATACATCTGCCTGGAGTTTTACATCCCCAGCAGTGGGGGGAAAAAGATGGTTGGAACTGAGAAAGAGAAATATGTTTAAATAAATACCACAACAGAAAATATGTAATGTTTCAGAATGAACTGTGGATACACATTAGATAGCCTCTGTCACAATAGAGCATTCAAAAGAATGAAACTTAACAGTTTATCATTTATTCCAACACTGATAGGGGCAACTATTATGGCTAGATGTGCACTACAAAGATGAGTAAATTGCAGTCGCTATGGATTAGCCCGGGCTTCCCAGTCTAGCCTTCTTTGATGACAAGGTACTCTATGACCATGCTTAATATGCAGTGCCTCTTGATCATAGCAGTAAGTAAGCTTCAAGTGGTTCTAGTTTCCAGTCTTACCTCATGTGAAGAACAGAGAATTCGGAATCAGAAAGATTCAGTTGCATCTCTGTTATTCGTCAGCTCTGCATGGTCAAACTCTCTTAACCTTTTGTTTCTTCATCTATATAATGGGATAGTAATTCTTCGCAGAGTGGCTGTCAGGATTAAATGAAATGACACTGGTGAAGTAACCAGCACAGGGCTGGGCACTTGCTAAGCTGTCCAGTAAACGGCTCACTTCATTCGCCCACTAAACTGTCTGCACCACAAAAGACACTTTGTGGTTTCTATTCATTTCTTACAGTATCCATTCCCCCTTCCTCCTCTTCCACCCTAATTTCACCCCACTAATTAGGTTCTCAAACAACATTCATATCATATCGTATCACCACTCAACATTCCTATTGTTGAGTTAGACTGTCCTCTAGTGTTTACCTTTTGGGATATTTACTCGTTATTCTCTTCCAGGCTAAAGCTAAGCTAAAGCCAGTAGTTTTTGGTATGATCTAGTTATCCTTGGTTTTGGAAGTGCTTTTAAGCACTGAAAAACGCACTGAATCTGGATCAGCTATGAATTATCTAGAATTGTCTAGCTGTAGTACACCACACTGCCATTTCATTTAAGCTGGGAGAGAAAACACCCTAAAACTTAAAGAAGTGATATAAATTCCAGTTTCCTGTGCTCCCTCTCTTTGCCACTGGAAATGTCTAGGAGGTGAGGTGTTCCCTTTTAAGATCAAGTCTTGAAATCTGTACCTCATTATTCATCAGCATTAAAGACACGAAATGCTCTCCTATCATCCCTGTCTTATATTATTTTTAAAAATCCAGGTAGTAAAATTTCTCAAATAAAAAGACAAGGTTAACACTGTTAGAAAATCAAATTTTAATTAAATACAGGGAAGAGTAGCAGTAAATATAAAACATACAAGCCAACATGTGGGAAAGGGGGAACCCTGGAGAGCTGAATGGGCTGAAGGGGTCTCCGCAGATAATGACCAATGCAAACCTGTATTTCAGAGTTTCTCATGCACTCTGTCAGCAGTACTTGCCTAGCTTTTGTCCCCAGCATCTTCTAAACACAGGAATACACAACACGGATGCAAATATGAACACCCATTCAAACATCCACCCGTACACCAACACGTCCTGATTTAGCTCTTCAACCCAGTTTGCCTCTCTGTTCCTGAAGGCTTCAGAAAGAAAACTTTCAGTCTGATCACTTCATGAGGGCTTTACAATCCCAGTGTGCACCCTCTTCCCCTTCTGGGTTTACAGTAGCCATGGGATTAAGGGCTGGACTGGAATGGAGGGCTACTTCCCGCCCTGGACTCCAAACAGGCAATCAAGGGACTGGCTTCCCCCTCCACTGTCCATGCATCAGGCTCAGACCTTCCCAGCCATGGAAACTTGGCTGCTGCTTTAAGGATGTTTCGTACTTCAGGTCAGTAGAAATCAAAAGGAAACCCTGGAGAGGATGCAACAATGAAGATAACATCAAACCCTGGGCACCTGCAGCCATGGGATTTCTGGGCCTATCTGGGGGGTGGAGGGGAGACGGTTTCTTGACCAGGTCCTACTGCGACACCCTCCCCTACTCCTGTCCCATTTGTGAGTGCCTCAGACATAGGAACAGGCCATTTTGGATTACCGCCACCTTCTGTGACTTACACAATTATAGACGGGGAGGTGGGAGGGAAAAAGGAATGTGGGAGAGTGTATAGGAAGGGAGAACTCCATCAGAATCATATTTCCACCTCCCCATGCAAGAAAACGCCAAAACAGAAGACAAAAGTTTCTCTGAAGTTTGTTGATGATTAAGTAGGAAACTGCAAACAGATTGCTGAACCCAGGGGAGGATCTTCTGGTTCAGGCGAAAATTCACAAAGGAATCAAAAGAGCCAGTGAGGCTGCAGCTCTGCCCTTTTCCAGCTACATAAGCCATGTCACCCCACTGAGTCTTACTTTCCTCATCTATAAAATGGGACTAATGATCCTGGCCTTACAGGTTGTTCTATAGAATACAAAAAATAAAACGCACTACACTGCATCTTATACTGTGGTGTGAGTAATTGTGACTGTAAAGGTAAATTGGTCTGATTTTTTAAATTCAAGTTTAAATGCTTTTCATTGTTAACTGCAAGTTTTAAGAACTAAATGTTTTGTTTGTGAAATTCCCTGGGCTGGAAAAAAACAAAACAGAACAAAATAAAACAAAAAAAATACAGGAAGAGGCTTATTTTACTATGAAAAGAAAAGGGGCAGTTAAGAGAATGTTCACATTCTTACCTCAAAAACTTCAATATCTGAATTGACGAATGAGATATTGTATGGGTTGGGCAGAGGAAATCCCTGCTGCAATTTTGCTAAAATATAGATTAAGGTGTAAAATCATTAGGCACAGGCACAGAAGTTTTGGCAAACATTTTAGTAAGAGAATAACAAGCAGGTTTTTAGTAATCTATCTTTTCATTCTCCCTGGTTCTCTGTTTTTATTGTCTTTGATGTGTCCTGTGCATTTCACTGGAAGAATGGTTAATTGATATGTGCTTAATAAAATGTACCTGCAATTATATGCATTTGGATGGCAGAAAAATGCTGGCAACTTGTCCAATTTATATTTTGAAAATACCTTAATTACTGAGTCTGAGAACATTTTCATCTCTAATAATATGAATTTTAACCAAGCCAAACTCCAGATGCTGTGGTTTGTGAACAATTGCAGTATAGGCAAAAGGCACAGGATTGTCCATTAAAACTGTCTATCCATATAGTGGTCTTCACATAGGAACCACACAGACCCCCTTGAGGGAGAGTAAGGTCATTTCTGGCTGACCTAAATGAGACTCTTTACTGCCTAAGAAGTGGTTTCAATCTCCTTAACTCAACCAGAGTTAGCTATTCTTCCTGAGTCTACAAGTAGAATTGCCAGTAAGGCTTGGACCTCAAAACAACTAATTTTGCTACCACATCCAAATGATGGTACAACCTTTGCAAGCTCCGACGCTGGCCTGGATCCATAATAACACTCAAGAAATATGAGCTTCGAGGTGGAAAGTCCCAAACAATCCCCAACATTTAGCCAATGGCAGAGTCATGTTGTTTCCCAAGAATCTCTTACCATTAGCCAGTGGGAGGATTCCAAAGTGGAGAATGGATGACAGAATATTCTCAAACCTCAAGACCTAAAATGAAAGGGGAAAACTGAATGAGTTGCCAAATCACGGCGTTTTCAAAGTACAATGCCTGGTTTGGACATGTAGTTTCTGGAACCTTATTAGGATAGAGAACAATAATTCGAATATCCCAGTAGGGAATTTCTAGCTTTCAGGACACTGCAAGCTATTCTGTGGGAAACCCTAAAACAGAGTTTCCTAATCTCTTTCCCACCTTGGGGATGGACATTTCTGCCCCCCTGTATGCTGGCTCATGGAGGCATCAAATGCAGAGGGACCACGTGGTGGCAGCAAACATGGCAGTTTACACATCCACCAAGTGAGACAAAGTAGAACCACGAATAGACATCCCAATCAGTAGTCTCCCCTTCATTTACGGGGAACCCTGGCCACAGGAGTTCCCTTGCATTATGTTATGCTCTATAGTTCACAGTACCACCAGGACATCCAATTTTTCTTGAATAAACTATGGTAGTCGTGTAATCTTAGCTAAGTGTTGGTTCCCTGGGAAGATTCGGGTATTGAAAACAAATGGAATATGATGGAACATCAATTCATTCCACGAATATTTTTTTGAGCATCATATATGCTTGGCAATAATAAGATTCTCTTTGCAGCTTGGCAAGAGCAGCTTTGAAGCAGACTTCCTATGTTTATCTCTTCTTAAAACTACTTTACTGTGTGATGCTGGGAAAGTTCCTTAGCTTCTTTGTGCCTCAGTTTCCTCAACTGTAAAATGAAGATAATAGTACTAATCTCATAGGGTTGTTATCAGGATTGAACAAGTTAACATTATGTAAATTGCCTGGTATACACCACTGTCATTTTTTCAGAAATATCCTGGTTAGTACACCCTGCTATTGATACCAGGCAGTTTATCTGGGTCTTCCTGGAAGACCTTGGTTCCTTTTGCCTCCTCTGGGCTCAGGAAATATTATTTATGAGAAAGTCAGCTATGCATTCTCATCGACCATAGTCTATCATCTACTAAATGGCTGTGCTGTGGAGATGCTGACCCATGGTGTATGAGACAACACTGATAGGTTAGACTTTAATATCTGGCCTTAAAGATATGACGTGTTTACAGCTTGTTGACACTATTGCTACTGACTCCTAATCATCCCAACCTGCAAATCAGGATGCTCCTAAAAAATTAAACAAACAAACAAAAACATCTTGTTTGGTCTCCTGGCTAAATTCTCTGGCTTCTTGGCTTTTTTCCCTAGATCTAGTCCTCTCTTAATAACTGTTTCCAATGAACATGGTAACAAATTCAGTATTTGCCATGCCCTACGACTGCCCTTTGAGTGGTTAAGGGATTTGTCCAAGGCCCTGTGGCCCTTGCAGTTTGACCTCAGAGATTGTGCATGTAACCATTAAGCTATACTGCCCTTTGCCATGATGTGGCATAACTGAAATTAATTTTTATAAAAACAATGGCATAATTTATTTAATACCTACCACATATTTGATGTGCTAACTGAATATCACACATAATCTCAGCAAATCCTTTCAACAAACCCAAGACTGTAACCCCATCTCCATACATACTTGCACTGCTTGTTCTTGTCCTGATTTTTCTTTCTCTACAGGATTTTGTTCAACACATACAATGTATGTTTGTTTTCTTTCTCCCTCACTCTGTCACACGCATGCACTCACACACACTCTAGAATGCAGTTTCCCAACAGCGGCAAGATTGACATTTTGGGATAGGTCACTCTTCGTTGTGAGGGACTGTGTCAGGCCCTATGGAATGTTTAGCCTTTGCCCACTAAGAGCCTGTAGCATGCCCCTCACTTCTGAGGTTATGACAATCAAAACTGTCTTCAGACATTGCCAACTGACCCTAGTTGAGAACCACTGATCTATAATGTAAGTGCAACGAGGGCAGGCGTGCCAGTTAGTGGTCTGGCTGATCTTCCTGCAGTTTGGGGAGAAGGGGTTTCCCAGCCACATGTTAGGGTGTACCTTTCCAGATGGGAGATCACTAGGCTGGTCCTCCCCAAAAAGTATCTACACAACCAGCCTTGACCTAATTTTAGGAGAAGGCCAGAAAACTTTCAGGAGCAAACTTAATCATGGCCTAAAAATTTACATATAGCCTCATCCTTGAGTCGTCTGGGTCTTAAATTTAACTCTAGAGGATTATTTTATCTCACAAATGAAATCTCCCTGAAAATGCCTATTTTTTCCCCCAACATTATACAATATCTTAACTGTCTCTGGGCTTCTTTATAAAGTCTTTCTGAGTAGATAAAAGTGAACTGGGGAGTTAGTTAATGGGCTTAGTGGATGAGTAGCTACATCAAGAATTTTAAAGTTAAAACCTACACATATGGGGAAGCACTTAGAGGCATAGAAAACAACCATCCAGCCACTACAGAAGGGAGGTGTCATTCTTCCCTGGACAAGGAGCTCTGAGAGCTCTGATTCCTACCTCAATATTGCTGCGATTGAATTCTGGCAAAACGAGGCGAAATCTGAAAACAAAACAAAACAACCAAAGTCAACAGGAGAAGGTTAAAGGAGGGAAGATTTTAAAAACAATGATCTCAGTAGAAAGGAACAAATGGAAAGGGATTTTTTTTACAGTTTTATAAGCTGCTCTTTAAACAAACACACAAACTTGTAAGGACAAAATATTCTGTTACATCTTTACCCCTATTATTTGCTGCTTCAGGAGCAAAGCAGGAATACCAGAAGGCTTGGATTGGGAACCAGGATGGGATTCCCCGAGTGCATTTGCTATGTGGGACTTACTGTTGACAACCTGGAACGTAGAATGATCTCAAGAAATGTTTTTCAGTCTACAGCCATACCATCCTGAGTGTGCCCGGTCTTGTCTGATCTCTGAAGCTAAGTAGGATTGGGTTTTGGTAGGACTTTGACAGAGAAACAGTTTTCAGGTCTTGGTCCAAACTCAACCTTATAACTGCTCTGAGGCAGGCTGGTCCCTTAATAATAAAGATAATGATAATGGTGATGGTGATAGTGATGACACTACATGACAGGCCCTGTTTGTGGAGCTTTATAAATGTTAAAGCTTAATCTTCACAATAACCCTGCAACAGATGGCACTGTGATTGCCCCTTTTGCCGACAAGGAACCGGATGACCAGAAACAAAGAGCAGAAAGTCCGAATCATAGAGTTAGCAACCGATGGGTCTGGAGGTCCAATATCACTCTACTGGACTCAAAATTCTCTGCTCATCTAGGCCACTTTCTCAGAGGGCAGTTTTACCTATATCATTCTTTTAGCAGCTGAATCCTAACACATAAGGGAAACATTAGCTATGAGGGCTATCTGCCACGAAAGGAAGTGGAATGTAATTGTTAAAGCAGGGACTCTTAGCAGAATGCCTGAGTTTGAAGCCTCCTGCTGTGTAGACTCACTTAACCTCTCTGGATGTTAGTTTTTGCCTCTCTAAAATATGAATAAGAATAGTACCTTCCTTATATGACTACAGTGAAGATTGAATGAAATAATGCATATAAAATACTTAGTACTATGCCTAGCATATCCTCAGCACTTTATAAAATGTGAGGCTTTATTCTTTCTAGGAGAAATGCTGATAGTCATGCTGTTTTATTCATCAGACAATATCTACTTGAGGTAAAGAAAAAATGTCTTGGCTTCAAAACCTGTGTCAAAAAATCCTGAAAAGTTAATACATGCTTACAACAAGTAACATTATGGCTGTTGGTCACTTTAACTCAACTCCATTCATAGTTAAATTTAAACTATATTTAATGTGAAATTCACTTGAATACATGCAATATATTTTGAGATGGAATCTCTGAAATTAGAGTGGCTAAGGACTGAAAGATCTTAAAACAACCATGAGGTATTTCCTTGCATATTCCACAATACTTCTGGCCTCCACTCTTTTCCTCATGCTATTCCCCCTTTCTGGAATTGCCCTCCCCTTTCCCTTTGACTGGTGAACTCCTTTTAATTGCTTAACATTGAACTCAGTTGTTACCTCTTCCAAGAATCTTTCCGTTATTACATTTAAGGAGCAGGTATTCTTGGAAGTGGTAAGTTTACTATCTGTCAAAAGGATGTCAGTATGCATTAGGTTTTGAGATTGCTTCCAATTGACAGCTAAGAGTAAAAGCCAGAAAGATAGGTAAACCTGACAAGGGACCGGAAATGGCATCTGGTACTGTGGCTTAAACTGATCTCAGTATGATGGGCAAGCTAGACCAGTTTAGAAATTCGGCCTACAGAAAGGTGGGACACTCTTGTGAGCTTTCTTTTCTTTCATCACAACTGCAAGCCCTGATTGGCCACCTAAGGACCACCTGCCGTGAGTGAACTTGCCCAGGACTTCCCACGACCTAGCTATTCTTTCCTTTCCTCTAAAGGCCATCTTATTTCTATCTTTTCCTAGTTGTCTAGGCATACTTAGGTTGGCTTACTAATGGACATGTCTCACTAACTGCGGAGAAACCTGTGGAGCAAAGAACCTCTCTTTGCCCTATTCTGGAAAACATGCCAGAGCAACTCAGACCACCAGGTGGCGACTGAATTCAGTCTTTTGACTCCAGCCTTTACCAGGCCTGTAACCTGTTACTTAAAGCCTTGCTACCAGGGACTAATTTTTATTACAGAACAGAAGAGTTTTTTGGGGAGAAAGGGAGATCATATAGCCTTACCTTGCAGACATATAATAGTATAGCTTATTTTAAAGGTTTTGTAGAAGGTTTATGCCCTGACTGAAAACCAGAGCTGAAATGCAAACTCTGAAACATGACAAACGGCTCTTCATGACCTGGGTCAATATAGCAAATACGACATAATGACTGTCAAGTGGACCTAAGAACAAGGCCATTCTTCCAGCCCTGCGGCCACAGCAGGCATTGAAAAATCAGTCCCCACATTCAGTACCCATTAATACTTGTTTATCTTCTTGCCTTCTATGAACTTCTTGAGGGTAGAGATACAGTCTTAATTACCTTTGTACTCCCAGGATCGAGTACAGAACACGGCACATTTAGGCACTGAGTGTTAGTTCATTCATTCATTCATTCATTCATTCATTCATTCATTCATTCATCCAACAGATATTTACTGAACACCTAATATATGTCAGCCCAGGGACAGGTGCTGAGACATGTTTGTGAATGAAACCAAACACAGTTGCTGGTCTCAGGTAGTTGAAGGCTTACTGGGGAGGCAGATATTAATCCAGTAATCCACTGATGGAGGTTTAATTGCAGGTTGAGATAAATGCTCTGAAGGAAAGAAATAGTTCACTGAGGCAAATGAGAAAAGAAACTGATCTAAATTAGTGGGTGCAGGAAGCTTTCCAAGGAAGGGAAAGATATCCTTGAGCTCACATATGAGGGAGGAACAAGATTAAAAAGGCATAATAGGGAAGGAAGAGGATCTGTGCAGAGGTTGTAAAGGCCCTGTGACCGGAACAGATTGCTAGGGAGATGGCACAGCAAGCTGACGCCACAGGGGCAGGCAGCAGTAGATAAGGCTGAGTTTCTCACCTGTGTCAGAATTTTGTTATTTATCCTAAGAGCAAGGAATCTACCAAGGGAGATGATGTCTGAGCTTTGTAAAGATCACTCTGGCTGCAGCATGGAGGAAAAGTTGGCAGGCCAAGAGGTTTCCCCGATGCTCCTTCTATGCTCAGTAATGTGCTGCGTGATGTGAAGAAATGTATTTATATTTATGAGCAGTAGAGAGGAGCTGTATGTACAGGAAACAAGTGGAGAACACCACAAAACAGTGTGTATTCAGGCGCTCATTTATGGAGATACCCACTGACCCACTGGGAATACGGCACACTGAGTTGCTGCAGGAATTGCGAGGTGTGAAAAGATGAAGAATGCAGGGTAGGTTGGAGACGTGTGTGTGTGTGTGTGTGTGTGCGCGTGATGTGGGGGACAATAAACTGCCCTTTGAGAGAAGCACTGTGCACGCTGCCATGGACCTACACACTACCATATCCCTTAGCACCTGGTATTTTAATGGCCTGTTAATCTGAGTGTTTCTCTCACTAGGCTATGGACTGGAAAGTAAAAACTATTGTCCTTCTCTCTACTGTCTGTATCAGGAACAGTACAGAGCACACAGTAGATGCTCAATAAATTCTTACTGACTGGATGTATGGATAAATGAGCAGAAAAAGGATGGGTAGGGAAGCATTTATAGGAACTGGGGGCATTTTGAGGGCAAGCCAGCCTAAAACAGTCTGTTCATTGGAGCTGAGAATGGCTGCTTTGAAAGGCAGAACTAGTAAGTGGGGAGATTGCCCCAGTGAGTCTGGGAGAAGGGGAAGAAGTCATTTGGGGTTTCCTCCTCTGTATTGGATTCAACAGCGGCCCAGAGGAAGGGTGGAGATGGAGGTCAGTCAAGCTTGAGCTCTGCTGACCTGTCCAACAGAAACTGCATGCGTCCTTCCCAGACCTGTTGTCCCGTCTGGGTTGGCTCACACTAAAAAATGTCCATCTGCCCAAGCCGGGAAGAGTGCAGTTAGGTGGTGGTTCTACGTGCTTGTCATCAGATACATTTGCATTCTCTGATGCTGTTGTGTGGGTGGGTTGTAGGGAGTGTGTGTGTGTGTGTGTCCGTGTGTGTGTGTGTGTGTGTGTGTGTGTGTGTTAGTGGGGTGGGGTGCAGTTTGGGAGTGTCCAAAGCCCAATCATGGCCATGTCAAAAAAGTCCCGAAGTTCTAAATGGTTCGACAGTATCGTACATTTGATTGCCTTGAGCTTTGCATGTGATTAAGAAAAAGGGTTGGAATTAATTAGGTCCCTGAATTCATCTCAAAAGTGTCTCATATGTGGACCAACCTGTATTGGGGTTGCCTCCCAATAGAACTGTGTTCGGAACAAAGGTCTCAGTTGTAGATAGAACAGTAAGAATCTGGTTTATGCTTTGGAGGGCCAACACCACAGCTTTTAAGAACATCCTGACTTGTCATGCCTCTTGGGACCAATTTCTCCCTCTTACTTGGTCAAATTTTGATCCCTGAGAATGAAATACTACTACTAGTAGTAGCAAATATTTCTTGAACTCTGATTATGTGCTGGGCATTGTCCTTTTCATACATTCTCATCCAGCCATAAAACAACTCTATGGAGAGGTGCTCTGTTTTGCTGATGAGGAAACCGGTACCTGGAGAGGTTAACTGATTTGCTCAAGGTCCCATAGCTAGCAAAAGGCCAAGGTAGAATTCAAAGTCAGGTATGACTGATGCTAGAACCTGTGCTTTTTACATTAGACATATCCAAAGAGGTCAGCTTGAGTACTAGTACCCCCCGCTTTTACTTTCTTCATTCATTTATTCATGCAATGAGAAAAAGGCTGTGTGCTTTTTCCATTGTGGGATACCCAGGGCCAGTGGCATCTCTTCCTTTCAATACTTAACATTGACAAAAGCCTGTTTTGATTTAGCCTGACTCCATCTTATGGGTTTCCTCATCTAGGCAAGGGTATTTATTTTCTAAGTCTTGGGTTAAAGACTTATTTCCTGGGTCTTAGCTATCCACCACGTCAAAGGCAGTATAATGTAGTATGCAAACAGTCATGGCTCTGAAAATGGATTCACCTGTGATCAAGTTCTGGCTCTGCCATTCAATAGCTCTGTGACCTGAGGAAGTGATTTGACCTCTGTAATCTGTAGAATGGGGATAATAAGCTATCTCCAGGACTATTCAATCTACAGACATTTATTGGGTACTGTGTTAGGTCCTGGAGATAGGGGGTTGTGAAGATTAAGTGAAATAATATATGTGCAGGCTTGGCACAGGACCAGTAGCAGAAAAGGTTCAATAATAAAGAGTAGTCACGAATAGTACAGCAAAAGGCTATTTCTCTAAAAGCCATCACTGGGCAGGAGACAGTGGAGTGAGGTGTTTTCTGAATAGGGGAACTCTTGAAATGATCTTGTATGATAGAACACCTCCTTCCCCTGGCTGAGGCCAGCCCCAAAATTTAAATAATAGCCACAGCCAATGTTTCTTGAGCACTTAATATGTACTTTATGTGTATTAATTCATGTTTTCCTCACAACAACCCCTTAAGTAGGTTTAATTATATCCTCATTTTTAGAGAAGGATATGGAAGTACAGAGAGGGTAAGTAACTTGCCTGAGACTGCACAGCTAGTGAATGGCAGGGCTGGGATCTGCACCAGCTGGTCTGACTCTGAAGCCAGTGACCTCATCGCCTCACCACGCTGACTTTACCTCTGTTTTCTGCATCTCATGTCCATTAACTAGCCCCGAGCAGCTCCAGAAACACATTCCAGTACGTGGTTAGAAAGGCATTCTGGGCCTGTGTGTTCTGGGGAGCCTTATCTGCATTTTCCAGGTTCTTCCCAGGGATGTTTCACTGATCCCCACCCACTTTACACCACTTCCTGCTGTGTCTCTCTGACATCACCCAATGCCAAATCGGTCCATCCTGCAAAGCAGTGCCAGGGTTGGAGGCGGCCTGTGCTGAGGCGGGGTTACGGCATGTTCATTTTGCAGTGGGTCTTGCAAATTATGTGGCCAGTCCTGCTCAGATCCCGCTAAGGCCTCAGGGTGCAGGAAGCCTCAGTGCGAGAATCTAAAGGAGCAGGCAGGGTAGTAGGGAGCATACTCCAGGAATGCAGAAGTCCTAATTTCAGGGTTGTGTTCACGAGGTCAAAGCCTGCTTGTGGATCATAGGAAGAGAGGACAAATTCGCATGTTTCTTTGGATGATACGAATTCAGCAGTTTTCTAGTCACTCCCATAAACAAACATTAACACCCAGGGAACATGAAGTTTCTTAGTAGTAGGAACATTGGGGATGAGGGTCAGCAGATTTATGCAGAGAAGCAAACCTTAAGGCCTTTCCTACCTGCCTGCGGCAAGCCTGAAGCCCCATCCTTATTAAAGCCTTCCTTCGGGTCCTGCCAGGAACCCGATCTCTGCTCCAATGCAAACATTTCTACTTTCTCAAGGGCTTGCTGCCTCAGTTAACAGCCCTGCCCTATTCTCCCCCATCACCCCAGATTTCCAGCCTCCCCTTTCCTCTCAGTCTCCAGTGGAAGGTCCAGACAAAGGTCCAAATACTCCCCTTTCTCTGGTGGCTTAGCTCAGATGCTGCGTCCGTCTCCCCTTCCATCCTTCACCTCGTCATCTCCTGTTCTCTGGCTTTCAGCCTCTCAGCTCCATCTCAGAGATAACTCCCAAGGTTCAGAGTTCCATCAGCCTTGACCTTCTGGAAATAGGGCTACATTATGACTTTCAGGGGCATAAGACACTTTTGCCTTCCATCCTCTATAAAAAATATATTAAAAATTCTATCTGAACACTGTGTTGTAATAAAGATAAGTATAATCCAGTCTGGGTTGTATTCTTTTTTAAATTTTCATCTCAAAATACATTCAAACCTTTTCATGGCCCCCTAAGTACCCTGGGCTCTAGGCTCTGGGCCTGCTGAGTCTAATGGAGAAATCAGTCTTGCTTTGAAGGGCTGGGTAATATTGAGTAAAGCCTTCTTGAAATATTTATCTCTGGGAAACCATATTACCTTTTATTTTGGGGGGGGGTGACTTTTATTGCAGCAATACAGTTACAAATAAAATTTTAAGGAAAAAAAACTCCTCTCATAATGTCCTATCCTAATATAACTCTTGACTTGCGATCACTGATCACTGCCTTTTCCAGACGGAAAGCTCTTCTACACAGCTGACTGTGTGTTTAGGCCGTTTTGTAGTCTGCTTGCTCCAGTTAATACTATTTTATTGAAAACACTCTTCATGTTTCTACAATAGTTTTCATAACCACCCAGTTGACTTACGATGATTGACTTTTCTCCTCTGCTGGTTTCCCATGCTTTTCAGACTCTGCTGGCCTTGTCTGTTTCATTGCTTCCTTGTCTTCCTTTCATGCATTAGTTTGGGCCACAGAATCATTCTGTGTATCTTCCCCCCAAAGTGGTTTGAGTACTGGCTTCAACTATTGGATTCATAGAACTAAGGAAAATGGACTTTGCAGCTGGCTTCTCTAACTGGCAATTTCTGTCCAGTGGTCTGTGTATTGGACCTGCTCAAGCCCTTTGACTACACGGCTTGTATTTGAGAGCCAGCTAAGCCATGGGGCATGGTCTTGTTAAACTCCACATTCTAGTAATGGGATCAGGGCGTCAAAGCCTGAAAGTACCTTGGTGATGATCCACACCAACCTCATGATTTTACAGATAAGGAAACTGAGGCTCAAAGACATGAACAGCCTTGATCAAAGTCATAGAACCAGTGAGTAGAGATATGAGACTTCGTTCTTTGACCTCAAATTCTTGTGCTCTTTTCTCAGTAGCACACTTCCTGAATTTGTGGAAGGAGAACCTTTATTTATATTATGGTGCCATTAGAATGTACAGTCGCACTATGCAATTATATTTACAATTATTTTACTTCTCACTTTATCTTAATATTATCTAATTGGAAGAAAAAAGAAAAACTTCACAGGACATTGTTTCAGTTAAGTCTATGCTTTGAAATTATCTGGATTATTATGAAGTACTTAAGTGATTCACATTCTATCCAATGGGAACTTCACCTGTTCTGTTCATGTTCACCTTGTCTCTATGGCCTGTTGATTCACTTATTACCAAGGTTTCCCCCTGTCTAATCAATTAACCTTACCTGTTCAGAGACAATGAGCAGATCAGTTTTTGTCCCAAAATAACCAGGCTAACACTGGTACTAGCAACCTGCAGACAACAAAAGCATTCATTACTATGAGGAGTGACTGTCCATTTGGCTGCAAATATCATTTCCTATAGCAGGAACATAAGCTCCACCTTCCCGCTCATTCCTAGAGATACTGGAAAGAAATACCTCTGAAAGTGCTGTCCTGCAGATAGGGAGACCGACTATAATGACCTTTTATTTAGGGATTGCCTTTAAATCATTTTCCTATTTTCTCCTTCTCTCTCTGTGTGTACCGTGTGTGTGTGTGTGTGTGTGTGTGTGCGTGTGTGTGTGTGAGATATCTGGCTTAGGTTCATTTAATTAGCCCCCTTTTACTGGATTTTCATTTGGCTTCTATCTGATTGAATAAACTTGAATTCCACCTTGAATGACTTATTTTGAGGACAAAGAAAGCCAGCTACCAATGTGACTGAAGCAGAGGGAAGGAAGGGCACATGGGAGGTGGAGAAGGGTGGAGAGCTGTTTTACAATGTTGGGGGTATGAGCACTGGCCCCCCATACCTCACCTCCCGCACTCCGTCTCAACCCTGTCCTTACTCCTAACCCAAGCATCATATGCCCCACTCCAAACACTGCCTGCTGGCCAGTGGTTTACAGCAGGAAGGGGACTGGTGTCCACCAGCTGTCTGCCTCTCCCCACAGACTCACAAAGTCCATGGAAACGATGGCTTTGGCAGTCGAGTTCTTGGGCTGGGTGAGAATCATGATGGAGGCAGGAATGTCCAGGGTGAAGTTATTTGGTAGTAAACTGACCGTGGGTGGCTCCACTGCCAGGACCTGTACTATGAAGGGCTGGGACAAGATGTAGATCTCTGCAATCTGCCCGTGGTCAGGGAGAGAAACAGAGAGCAAGGAGTTGAGTGGATAAGGAAAAGTCACAAATTTGAGGTGGCCTCTGGTGATTAAATCTTATATCATCCATTTAGAATAGAAAAAGAGGCTCTTTAATAATAATAACAATAACACAAAACAAATAATAATAACTGAAACAATTTCACAACTGAAAAAAAGTGAGGCTTTAGAGAGTTTAAATAATTTTCTCAAGGTTCCAGGTGAGCTGGCTGTAGAACTGGGATTGACATCTTGGCCTGTCTGACTCAAGATCCTTGCTTTATAACCAGGATGCCGCACAAGCATCTTTCTGTCCTAAGGGCAAACCTGAGACTCACCAGGTCTAACACCCAGGAGCTGTGAAGGCACGATATTGAGATGCTTTACTAAAGTTACAAATGAAGACATTATTCCTTCATTCCCCACTTAGGCTAATTATTTCAAGTGTGGTGAAACCTTGTGGAGGAACAGTTGATTTATTTTGTAAGCTTACAAGGCCTTTAATAGTTACTTGTTTAGTAAATATTCGTGGATATTTTATTAAAAGAAAAAAACTCTTCAGCATGGTAAGATGGACTCAAGGTTTGGACCAAAAAGAAATATAAAGGACCCAGAAGTCTTCCAGAAGTAATTACAATGCAACTAAATAAAGTATCAAGGAGTGAAACTCACCCGGGAGAGCACGCTGCCAACACCTTGAGAGTTTTTAACCAAATGGTTGGAAATCTGGAATTTCAAGATCATCATGTTACTGTAAGGTTTTTACCTGGGTTGTCTTTTCAGGGAAAACCTAGCAGTCCCCATAACTTTTATGGATCATATAGCTATTGCACCACAAAATATTTAGTGTTTAAAGGTGACCTGTCATTTTATAGCTCAAACACCAGAATTTGAGTTCCAGCATAATAAAGGGACTTGCTCAAGGTCACACAGGAAGTTACATTTCTTTTGAGTAAGTGCCTTTTAACCTTGGGATCACTATGTTTATCATATATGTATGATCCACATATAAACATTCTATAGTGGTTAACAGTAAGTCTGGTGTTACTGTCTTCACTTTCAGAGATTGCTGAGATATAGGATGCTAAAGCAATTTAACTTTGTGGATAAATCATTATTAAGTCTGAAGCTACAGTGTCCAATTCTCAGCACTGTATGGTAGCCGATGCTGCTGCAGTTAGCATTTTGAACATGAGATTTAAAATTACTTATATAATTAAGACCAAAAAAATGCAAAGATTAATAGAAGTTGTTGGTTGGCTGGAGAGACTGGCCTCATCATGAAAGGGAGGGGGGATTGCAAAGAGAATCAACAATATTTGTACTATCACTAGTTATTATAGATCAATCTGCTGCAGTTACTGACAGGAGAAACATTTACATTGGCATAACACAAGGAATAATACTAATAATGGCATACTTTCGAGAACTTGCTCTGTGCTAGCCATTGGTCTGAATGCTTTACATATATGTGAACCCCTTTAATGCCCATATCAGCCCTATGAGTATGGAATTACTATTATTCTTATTTTCTAATTGAAGAAACTTGGTCACAGAGAAGTTAAATGAATCGAAATTGTCCAAAGTTGGAGGTAATAAGTGGTGGAGGGGTGTCTTGGCATTATTTGAGGTCAATCTAGAATGGTGGCCCAATATAAAAAAAAACTGAAATTAGCCAAACTGGAGACCCCATAACTCTCCAACTAACATCAACATTCATTTCACAGTTCCTTCATTCATTGTCCTGCTGGGAGTGACAGTCTAAAAAGGCCGAGGAATAGAAGCCATGACATTAAAAAAATCCCAAAGCGGGATTCTTAGAATAAGATTACATGTGGGTCATGATGGTCTTCATCCACGAACCCTCCTCACCTCTTTTGTGGAGAGAGTGATATTGAAAATCCCAGCTGTAAAGTAAGCAAATGATGCAGATTTAAAGAAATACTCAGAGATTCCAACGTAGAGCATAGAGTCACTGAGTTCTGGGAGCGCAAAAGGAACTGGTGAAAAGTGGGAGTCAGTGAGGTTTTCCAGAGGGTAGACTAGGCCCTGTGGGAAAACAAAGAGAAAGACCAGTAAATTTAATTAGAAATAAAATTATTCAAAGAACATGTAGTTGCACTTCCTCCTTGAGTGAAGACTCACATGTGCAGACCTACTCAGAATCAGGAAAACCCCAGAAACTCAGGAGGGGTGCAAAAACGATAAGGTCTTTTGACTCATTGGCTAGTGACTGTATATCAAAGCTCTGATGACTTCTTGAGAATATCTGGGTGTGTCTATCCTGGGGTGTAACCCAGTGGGAATTCCTTGTCAGTTGTCAGGAAGGCAGGCACATTTAACTGGAGGGGATGGCTCTGAATAATTCCCAAAGTGCCATTTAGAGGTGTCAAACCCATGACCTTCAAAATCTGTGACCTCAGAGCACCTGGGAGATCATAGAGAGACTCAGAAGCACCCAGGACTAACTGGTTTAGGGCATGTTTGTGGCGTTCCTCGTGCTGCCCTCATTAGCTATAGAGTTATTACAAAATGCTGTCTTGTGTGACATTTAACTGATGCGAATGTCTCTTGGTGATTGAAATATAAGCCAATCTGCATTTATAATAACAATGGGATTAACTTTGGGTCAAAACTAAACATAAGGACAATTGATCACTTTTCCAGAATCAGCAAACACCATTTTCATGGGTAATGGCCCCAGCAGAGGTCTACAGCCCTCAGCTAAACTGGCTAACCTGAGAGCTGGGTACAGAAATATCAATATGTATAATCTACTGATGTGTTAAGTTCTTATAAATGCAGGCCACTCTATTTGCTGCCTCCTAGTCCCAAACCTACATCCAGAGACAAAGACATCATGACACTTTTCGTGAAGAATACAGTCACATATTGTGCTGTTCAAATGATCATTTACCAATCAGGAAAATGTTCAAGAGACTTTTGAAAGTGCATAAACATGAGGAAATTGCTTGAAAGGAAAATTATTTGAAGAGCATCTAGTTATATTTCCTTCTGCACATAACATATGCTCCTTGAATACTGGCTGTGGATAGCCAAGATGAGGATGCTGACGATGAAAAAGTTACCTTTAAATTCAGGTCAATGTAATTCTCAGCAATTTCTGGAGAACTTATTAGGGAATAATCCAGCAGAGTATAGTTGTCAATCTTGGTTAAGACTAAATAACAGAGAGAAAAGAAAATGTATAGTCATTAAAGGCATGGTATAACATATGATTAAATGTCTTTCCAGAACAATTTTTAAATTCTCTGTTTTTTAAAGTAACAATAACCCTATTTAAAAAAGAATACATGCTCACTTTTCCAACACAGGAAAAGTAGATTAGTCAAAAGAAGAAAGTAAAAACCCATCCTAATCACATTTTCTTGAGAGAAACATCAGTAAAATTTTGATGTAAACCCTTTCTAGCACATGCATACAAACACACACACACATGCACACACTGCATGCACACTTCTATTTTAAAAAGAAAATTAGACAAACAAAAGTCACTTATCAATATTAAGCCATATATGTTAGGTTGATATAATGAGAGACTTTCAAGTTCTATGTTATAGCCTTCTAGGTAGTTAGGACTTTGTTTTTTAATAATGAGTATGTTTTATTGTTGTAATTAGAAATAGATTTTAAAAAGAAATATTGAGAGAAAGAGAAAACAGACAGATAGAAAGGAAGAAAAGTCCCCAAGTTGGAGAGGCCAAGAAAATCCTCATGTACAGTGCTACTAATTCAACTAATTTTTGTGTATCATCAGTTTTGGAGCAAAGCAGAAGGCCAGAGGACCTGGGGACAGGAGGTGGGGTTTGCAGGAAGCGTGGATTTCAGAGTGTGACACGTGTACACACAGTGGTGCAGAGCGCAGGTCCCTGACTTCGCCTGGCACAGCTGCTTCCCTCAGCACCACCATGTCTTCTGTGATATGGAGACTTCCTCCCTGTTTTAGAGGAATGTATGTGAGTCCCGTATCTTCTCTTCTTGTATGCTGTGTTTGGTTTATTCTGTAGATGGTGGTGAGAAACAGGATGACATGAAGCAACTTGCCAAGGTGAGGGAACAATACTACCTATGTTGCTCTTGTTTTTAAAAATGCTTTCAAATTGTCAGTCTCAACAAGGGCAAGGTAGGACACAGGAATCCTTGACTGGTTTCTCTCTCACTACATCTTCTTCCTCTTTTCATACCTCTCTGATCCATTCTTTTTTTCCCATCCATCTTCATCTATTCATCCATCCACTTGTGTAGCCACCCATCTCCTTTCATCCCTTCATTTATCCAATATCAGTTAACCTAGTGTGGGTCAGGTAGGCACTGTGCCTGAGGCTGGGGACACAGATGTAAGTCAAAGTCCCTGCTCTCATGGAACTGGTAGTCTAGAGGAAGAGACAGATAAACAAACAGGAAATTATAGCAGTATAGTAAGAGCAGATCTAAAATTGAGCTCTTGACAGTCCTACTACAAACCTATTATTACAGTCTTCTCCCTCTTGGTAAGTAGTAATTCTGTCCTTCTGATTTTATAGTTGCTCAGGGTAAAAACCTGGGGCCATCTTTGACTCCCTTCATGACCTACATTCAGTGTGTCAGCAAATAACATTGTACCTTTGCAGTACATGCAGAACCCGAGCACGCCTCCACATCGTCCTCACTCCATCGAGGCCACCTGCCATCATTGCTTGTATGGGGCCCTACAGTAGCCTCTTACATGGTTTCTCTGCTTCTACTCTTTCCCTCCTTCCTGTCTATTACTAATAGACAGGAGCCAGAGTGATCTCCTAAACCTGTATGTCAGATCGTGCAAGCCTCCCTTAGAACTCTCCAAAGACTCCCCATCTCAGACCAAGAGCCAGTCTCCGTGATGACCTACAAACCCTGAAGTTCTGACTGTATCTCTCAGGGGCTTGGCTCAGTGCTGCAAAGAAATTAGTATTCAATACATATCTATTACATGAATACATGGCCGGAGGGAAGAGAAAGCTCTTCCAGGCAGGAAGGACAGCATGAATAAAGGCAAAGGGTGAGGGCAGTAGAAGCACATTGTGTTTTGGAGCAGAGAAAGGGGCAAGATGAAGCCCAGGGAGGTAAGGAGAGCCAGAGGGTGGCAGGTGGGGCTTGTGCATGTTAAGGCACTGGGACTTGATCCTTGATCCTGAAGCAAGGAGCCACTGAAGGGGTTAGAACCAGGGGAAAACCTGGTCAAGATTGGTGTTAATCATTCTGAAGAGGATGGGCTTAGTGCCAGAGCTGGGATTAAAGTTTGTAGAGTGTAATTCTCTGACCCGCATTAATCTCCTGTAGCCCCTCCTTCTGCAGAGAAGTCGGTTAGCAGTAGAGAGGAGCCGGCCCTATACACAGGCTGTGTCCTCGCACACACCCTCCCGCAGCTCTGGTTTGCAGAGAGTAAAGCAGACTGAGAGCTAGTGCTGCACAACACCGGAAAGCAGAACTGGAGAGCATCAGGGTTTGAAGGTGGGAAGAGAACCCAGAAGAAACAGTTCTACTACTCACCCTTCAGCATGCTGAGATTGGCATTCAGTGCTTCTACCTGACTTGTGATAATGGGACAGAGCTGGCCATAAAAGGAATTAGAAAAATGCAGGTTATATCATATTGTACTGGGCCTAGATCTATAAACCAAGGCCTTCTGGTTAGGAGACATTCTCCCTTTCGTCATCAAGGCTTTCCCTTAAATTAGCTGATGCCTATAAAACCTCAAGTTATGCAGGCATGGGTGGCATGTCATTGAATGCTGGCTAAACTTCATAGCAAGCAGACTACACCCAGTTATCCCAATAAAAGAGCAAGCCCTTGGCTTTTCCTTCTGTGGCATGACAGGACGTGCACCCCGGTCTAGGCCAGTGGTATCAGGAATGTGCCGCAGAAAGGCCGTGCCTTTCCTGACCACAGGATCCTTCTGCCACCGAGCTGAGCTGCTCTGTCAGTAGTGCCACGCCCTGCTGGGAGTGGTCAGAGCCCGGGCCCTCACTTTCCTGCTGGGCTGGTTTGAAAGCCCATTAGATCAGGTGTCTATGAGGATCAGAAACCCTTTTTGGAATTAGAAAATCAGTCTTGAATCAGACCCAAGCACATCTTTAGGAAGAAGGAAGGTTATCAATACGGATGGGCCTGCTGTGTGCCAGGCGTGTGCTTAGCGCTCACTATGGTGGTTGCCAGCAGAGGCTTGGGAGAAGCTGAATCCCTTGGGAGGTTACTTGTAGTCTCCGTCCTCAGTTTCCTCATCTATGACATGAAGATAAGTGAATCTATCTCATCAGGTTGCTGTGAGTAGAAATTGAGGTAATCCACGTAGAATTGCCCAGCTTGTAGTAAGCATTCAGTAAGTGTTAGCTATTGTTTTTACTCCCATTTCATCCTCACTACAGCCTTGAAAGGTGGGCACTGTTGTCCCATTTACTGATGGGGACACCAAAGCTTAGAGATGATAAGCGAGTTACAGGAGCTATGTCATTAGGACTTGAAATCTGGCCTGACAGCTGTGGTCTGAGCAATCCTTTCTACTCCCAGTGGCACAGAGGGAGACCTAGCAGCAAAGCATCTGATCTCTCAGTCATATGTAAACTCCAGGCAAACTTAACTACTGGCCTCCTGTCAGACACTAAAAGAGCCAGCCTCCTTTCTGACAGCGGAATGGTGGCGGGCAGGGCCTTGAATGTGACGGCACTTTCAGTCACTCTTTCACATGCACACTCCCTGGCAGGCCATACCTGACAGGTAAGGATGGAGAGAGACAGTGATGCTTCAGAGTCCCCTGACCAGCTGGGCAACCTCCTTGGACAAGCTGCCCAATGTTTTTGCATGCTAGCTTCCTCACTGACATTCTTTAAGCACAACTGCCTACCAAGCCCTGAGCTGAGCATGAGGAAGGACGAGATTACCAGACACTGTTCTTGCCTTTCTTTTGCGGAAAGAAGCCTCCCTTCTCTTCCAGTCCTCCCCATCCCAATTCTTGTCTCTCCCAAAATACAGATAAAGGGTTCTGGGAAGGTGCGGTCGGGATTGGAAATAGGGCACACAGCTAATTCCATTTTGCCCCTTCTTCAAACACTAATTTCTTGTAGTGTTTGAGATACTTGTAGCTTTGGAAACCCTCTTAACTTATGTTGCTTCTATTGGCTGAAAATATCCTTTCTTCCTCCCCATTCCTTACCTATCCAAATATTACTTATACCTCAAGGCTCAGTTTAAGCCTGTAGGAGACTGTACAAGTCCGCATATCCTCTAAAAAATATCTCCTAGGACACTTCCTCTGAACCCCTGGTGTTCAGTTTAATGATAATGTAATTATGTAAAAATACTCATTCAGTTGTTGTTATACACGCCTGAGTTGGGTTTTTCTAAGAAGATAAGTTTATTCTTTCACATCCCCAACAGGCTCTAGCCTAGTGCTGGGCATGCAGTGGATACAGAGTTAATAAACTTATCAATTGTTTGCTCGTTCTGTGGCAAGCACTTGAGGGAGGAATGCTGTTTTATTCATCTCTGCATCCCCAGCACCTACAGCTGTGTTGGCACATAGTAGGCACTTGAGGAACTGTTATCTAGTTGCAAAGGATAATGTATGTGAGAGTGTCTTGGGTGGTGCCTAGTGCACAGTAGGTGCTCTATAAAGGTTCACTGACTCTGAATGAGTTAAAGCATGGCAGAACTGCTACTGAAGCATTTCATCATGGTTGTGTAATCTCTAAAGACTTACCATCTCATTTAAGTTCTTTAAAATGGGTTTCTCCATGGGCTCAGCAAAGGAGTTGTACAGGACACTAGGGACAAAAGGGAAAAATAGGGCTTACTCAGAGACTGTATCTGCTGGTTATAAACCTCCCCTGGACGCTGCCCGAGAATGCAGCCCAGACGAGCCACTACCCATCACCGTGCTCTTGTTACCTGAGTTCTCCAGAAAATGAAACGTGGGCATGGCTCACTTGGGCGTAGCAGTCTTGGAGCTTCAGGATTGGTTGACCAGAGTTATTTCGGGCCAGGATAACAATGCCAGTGACGTAGACCCCAGAGAGAAAGAGATCAGCTCCTCCTGTGTCTTGGCTGTTCAGAGACAAAGTGCCAGGTTACTGAGGCTGGACAAGGGTGGAGATGGGTCATTTCACTGATTACCCACAGACTGTAAGCTCCCACAGGCCAGGAACTTTGTCACCTCTGGATTTCTGGCACCTACAGCAGAGTAGGTGCTGAATGAACATTGACTGAACAAATGAAGTAATGGGTATGAGAATTGTGACAGGTTTAGGGACCTCGCAGTTATTTCATCCTAAGTGTTTGTGCCCCAGAGTGGTTCAGCACACATTGAGCACCATTTATATGCAACAGTTGTTTGGAGAGAGAACTTCAGGGATAAAGTTGGCTGCACCTTATTTAGGGGGGGGCATAGATGGGAAAGTGACACTTACATGTGATCTGAACTCTTTGAGGGAGTGTAGTGTATGTTGTTTGTATCTCTGTGTTCCCAGGATGAACACAGAATAAGCACTCAATATATGACTGAATGAGTATGTGAATCTATATTACTTATGGAAGAATGTATCATTTCTCTAAAGTCTATAAGACTGGAGCTCTTGAGATAGGGACTCAGCACCATTTATAAATGGATAAAGAAGGCGTGCAATAAATGGTTGTTGAATGACCAAGAGGATGAAGGATGTGTTATTCTGGGGCAACCAAGGCAGATCTAAATACGCCTAGGACAGTGACTTGCACATAGGAGGTGGCCTGTAAGCATGCCTTTAATCTGACCCTTCCTTTCTATAGGCCTTTTGGTGGGGGAAAATTTGGACTCAGGCTGATTACCATCTTCCAACCTCCTTGTGAGGTAGGAAGGCTGCATTTCCCATCAGTTTCCCCTACAGATGGGGAAGTGTGTTGAATGACTGGCCCAAGACCATACAGTGACTGACTGAGGGTATCAAATGTAGAGACATTCCCTCAGTAGTCAGGGACTTTCTAGCTCTTAGGAAACTTTAAGGGACCTTTTGCTCTGCCTTTAAGGGAAGCATGCTTTTCAGCCCCTTCTCCGCAGCAGATATCCTGGTTCAAATCTCTCATGGAAAGAAGTGCTCTTGATGAAGACTGCTGCTGGCTAAGGGAAAGAAGCCTGATGTCAAAACCAGCAAATTTATACCCATGCTCATTGCTCTGTTTCTCCCGGAAGAGCAGCAGCCTTTTCCATGGAATACTCACAAAAGCGGAGACTTGATTTCCCAATCTGTGCTGATGTTGGCAGTGCCGTGGTTGGTCAGCACCTTGATTCCCACCTCAGGCACGAAGGCTAGTGAAGTATTCGGAAATGAAAAGGCATTGATTTTTATGCTGTAACACAAGAAACAAAAGAGTTAGTGCAATACTTCTAGCACACCTTTAAGCAAGGCAAAACCAGAGATGCAACAGGCAGCTCTGAATTCCTCTAGAGGAGGAGCCTTGGGTCTGCAGCACTGCCTTTGGGCATGGTCCTCTGATGCCCCTCAAATCCCTCCTAGAAAGCCCCTTTGACTAGTTGAAGGAGGAAATGAGCAAGTTCAGAAGCAAATTTGCAAATAATCAACCTACTTCGTTAGCTGCATTAAGGATGAAAAAGGTACAACGTGGCCATCATTATTTTTCTCAGCTGTTTCAGTGTTTCTCGGTGGTGGAACGCTATTAGTATTTTGGATGGGACGACTACTTTTGCAGAGGACTCTTATATACACTGCAGGATATTTGTCATGTGTGCACCTAAATACTAGTAGTCCCCACCCCCCACCCCCCTTGCCCAATCATTGGAACAATTGAAAGTGTGCCTTCCTCTTCCCAAATGCCCTTTATGTGATCAGCATCTTCCCTAGTTGGGAATTCATTTTAGGGTGTAAACTTCCCCTAGGATTTTCTGGGCTGTCAAACAGGTAATTAGGAAGCAGTGGGTTGCATGTTATCTACATAGGTGGATGGCCACATGCATTATAATAAGTTATTATTATGAACATCTGGGTTACATGTAGTCTGTATAGGTAGATGGTCATATGCTTTATGATAAGTTATTATTATGAATATCTATTGAGCAATTACTACCTGCCAGGCACTGTAGCAAGAACCTTATATGCATCAGCTCATTTTAATCCTCACAATAATCCTACGAGATTGTTGATGTTTTGCAATTCAGAGATGTGACAATAAGAACCTTGGCTGAAGTCATATATAGGTGGTGGAACCAGACCTGCAGCTCTCCCCCATCTGTCTTCAGCCTGGACTCTTTACCACTAGGCTATGCCACTACAGGGATTGTGCAAAAGGTGCTTGACTTGGAGCCAAGTTTTGTGTTAGCTGTGCAACCCTGGATAAGGCACCTAACGTCTTTCAGTCAAGCACTTGAAGTGTTAACTCAGAAGTAAGGCAAAATGAGATCATCTGTGTATAATTATTGCATGGGAGAAAGGCATTGTTATGAACTAGGATTAGGAAAAATACAAAACATAAATGTGATAACTGATAAGGATGATTATTTGCTATTTCCTCTATGTTACATCCTTTGCTACCTATTCTCTGTCACACATCCTGAGGTCCACTGCAGGAAGAGGGGTAAGGTGATACATTTAACATATCTTGGAATTATTTTTCATACTTATAGGTCTAATCCATTCTTTGTGAACGCTGTAGAGTAGTCCAAGCTCTAGATGTATCACTAAAAAAAAAATCCTCTCTTTGTTGGTGGACACCTAGGTTATTTATAGTATTTCTGTTATAAACAATCACAGAGAACACCCTCATACATGCTGTTTATGTATGTTTCTCTAGGGGGGATGCTGAAGAGTGGAATTGTTGAGTCAAAGTGCATGCATTAAGAAAAGATTCTAGCACTGTCCAATAGAAATATAGGGTGAGCCACATATTTAATTTAAAATTTTCTAGTAACCGCAATAAAAAAGGGAAAAGAAACAGGTAAAGGTGATTTTGTTAATAATTGTTACTTAACCCAATATGTTTAAAATATGACCATTTCAACATGTAATCAATATAAAAATTATTCATGAGATATTTTATTTTCCTTTTTCCAAAATAAGGTATTTTATACTTGAGATACACCTCAATCTAGACACTGAATTTTCATCAGAAATACTTGATCTGTATTTAGATGATAAAATTTTCAAATGAAAAAGTAAACTTACATACTGAAATTGTTCAAGCATACTGAACAGTTTTCCAATAACTAACTGAATATCAGTTTTTAAATTAAAATTAAATAAATAAAAATTCAGTTCCTCAGCTACACTAGTCACATTTCAAGTCCTCAATAGCCACATGTGGCTAACAGTGACTGGGTAGCACAGATCTCATTATTGTACCAGTTTATCACTCCCACTAGCAAAGCATGAGAATACCTGTTTTCTCATTTTAACCCACACTTGATGTGGATTCACCCTGATCTTTCTGCTGTGCATTATCATCACTGTAATTAAGTATTTAATTTTATAAACATATATTTAATGTCCATCTCTCCCACTGTACATTAAGGGCAGGGAACATATCTGTATCATTCACTACTATATTCCCCGTGACTAGCAAAGCCCTAGTACATAGATACATGCTCAATAAATGTACATAGTACATAGTACATGCTCAATGAATGATTGTTAAATGCCTGACTTTAGTACCAACCAAACCATTTTCCAGGAGTTTCCCCTGGATCACTATCATACCCACAACCTCCCCCAAAATATCTTGGTTTTATATTGGCAGCAGGGAAATTATTACTCCTAAGGGTTGGAGTAGCAGGGCTTTTTCACTGGATTGATAATGCACAGTAGCAAATAATGAATCAAAAAGAATTCCTTATAAAAGCATGACTCTTGCTGACCTTTAAGACTGAGCTCAAGATGGACAATGACGTCCTTGCCTTACACTGCCTTTAGGGCTTTTGTTGGCAACTATGGGTAGGCTGCCAGTTGCTATCTGAACATCCATTTCCCCTTATTCTTTCACAAACATCCCTGAGTTTGCTCAGTGAGAAACCTGTCTGGTTGGAAAACTAATTTTCCAGTCTCCCTTGCTAATAAGTGTGGCCATATGACTAAGTCTATTATTGTACAGGCAGAGTATTATTAGAGTAGAGCTTCGAAGAATAACTCATTAGGAGGAGTAGACTAACTCAGCTTTCAAGAGCCCTTTTACCCTTGCCTCTTCCTCCTTTCAGGGGCCTGGAATGTGGATTTGATAGCTGAGGTGTGGTGGCTATATTGGGCTATGAGGCAATGTTGAGGCTAGAAGCCAGAGCTAAGGATGGTAGAACAGAAAAATATAAGAAGGCTGGATTCTGATGAAATCATGGGGTTTCCCTAGGATTTCTCCACTGTTTCTTTTTTTTAAATTGAAGTATAGTTGATAAATGATATTACATTGGTTTCAAGTATTCAACAGTTCAGCAGTTACACACATTATTAAACCCTCACCTCAAGTAGTGCAGTTACTGTCAACATAGAAAGATGTTACAGAACCATTGCCTATATTCTCCATGCTGTGCTACCATCCCTGTGAACAGCTTATATTATGATTGGATTTTTGTGCCTCCCACCCACCTATTCTATCCTTTCCCCCAAGGTAACCACTAGTCACTTCTCCATACCTATGAGTCTATGGCTATTTTGTTCATTCTGTTTTTAGATTCCACAAATAACAACTACTTTCTTTTGAGCTTCTTGAGACAAAAATGAATCCATATTACGTCTCAGCCATTGGAATTTTCTGTTATATTCTACTGAACTTTCTTCCTAAGTCATATAATCTCAAAACTCTGAACTGAGTGAAACAAGGATCTGAATCAAGGTGGCGATTCCATTGGTCTGACACGGCTATCATCATGGACATCAACTAATTAGTATACAGTAGTTTCAGTTTTATTAACTATCTCCACATTTGTTACATTATTCAATTTTCACTGTTTACTGATTTTGACATTTGATTTTATTACTGTTAGAAAATATTACAGCTGCCACCAAAAGACCTCTTAGGAAGAAAAATTTGTTGGTTGGAAAATGACTTTGAGAAGCATTTAGAGCATGAAGGAAGATTCTTTGGTACCCAGGAGTGGGTAGAACTGCTATGCATGAGACCAGAGGAAGAAATTTTTGTTGCTCCAGAGAAGGCAGGGAGGTCTACAAAGCGAGAGGGAAGAAAGCCATGTGTCCTGTGACCCATTCTTAAGAATTCCTAGACCCTGTGACCTCTAAAATCTTGACTAAACTTTACTAAAATAAGAAAAGACACGATGAGAGTAGATTTGGTTTTGAGACTGGTTGTATTCTGCATATAGGTTTATAGGGGTGGGGATAGCAATGGAATGGACAAGAATTTCATTTAGAATTCAAGGGGCAAGAGGTTATAGCTGACAACTGCATTGAATTAGAATCTCATTTTAGGAAAGAGGAAAGGACATTTTGAGACTCTGAGCAGATTTGCCAGGTGCTCACAACTCATGTGCAGCGGAGATATGTCTCAGGCCCAGGGGTCCTGACATAAGGGCCATACCCTTCGTCAACTTCAAGACCCTGTCCTTCTTGGGTCGTTTATCTGATGAGCCTCTTACAAAAGGTTGGTTAACTTCTCTGCAGGTCCTGGTGTTATACCAGAACACCTGGTGGCATATCTACAACCCTGAGATTTTAAACACTTAATTTCACTGTTAAAACTGCTCTTCTCTTTTACTTACTTTGAAAAACTGTAGTTCACATACTCAACTTTCAGAAATTCAAGAGATTCAGAACCTTGTAAATCTGGGATGTTTTTTTCCTTGACCATTTGCTCAATCATCTCCATCCCAACTTGAATGCCTGTGAAGGAACCAGAGAAAGTGTTTATTTGATAATAGTAAAGATGATAATGGCCTTATATCATTAAACATTAAACAAGTGAAATTAATTAAAGAAGATATGCTCTTAAAACCTAGAAAACAGCAACCCTACAAAGTGGATATTATTGTCCCTGCTTTACAGAGGCAAACACTAGTCCTCGGGGAAGCTAATGAAATTGCCACAGACCTCAGAGCTGTCAGCATGAGAGATGTGCGTTATGAGGCCAGGGCTAAAGAGTGCTATCACAGGGCAGCGTGATAGGAGAAATACATGATATTGTCATTACCCACATTCTATGAATGAAACTGAGCCTCAAAGAGGTTAAATCTTGTCTAAGTCACATAGCAGAGAACTGGGGGACCCACTAGTCAAATCTGGACAATTTCATTCCAGAATGCATGCCTTATTACAGCCAGTTCCAGAAAGTTATTCTCCTATTTTTACCCCCAGATTCTTTAAGCTTGGAAATTTTGACCTGGGGTCCATAGACCACTGTGGGCTCTCAAACCCCCATGGAATTCTAATAAAATGCTGTGAGTGGGTTGTGTGTCTGTACATTATGAGTCCACATTATCATCAGATTCTCAAAGGATGCCAGGGCTCCACAATGGTTAGTAACCAAAGCTTTTGTTTAACATGGGAATAAACTGGCTTTTATACAGTAGCAGCACAGAACACATTTCTCTGAGTTGATAGGGAACAAAGGGCCCTCTTCCAGGTTAAACAGCTGGAGCAAGGCTTACACAGTAAAGAAGAATGCCCTTTTCACCATGGCCTTGCCTTTATCCCTCACTTGGTAGTATATACTCTTTTTCATCTATTCTATCCTTGTTTGAGATGAAGAAGATTTTATTCTCTGTAATACCATGAGTAATATTGCTATAGGGGGATGTGAAGACAGGATGTAAAGGATGCAAAAATGGAGCCAAAGGCACAATCAGACAGCTCAGGTTTGAGTCCCAACATTGTTGCTCACTAGCTTGTGTGACTCTGCAAAGTACAAAATCTATCAGTCCCTCATTTCCCTCATCTGTGACATGGGGACATTACTAACTGTGGAGGGATCTGCTCACACATGTGAAAATAACAGTAGCCAATATTTGCTGGAAGTTCGCTATTGCCAGACCCTGTTCCAAGTACTTTACATCCATTAATTCATGTGTTTCCCACCATAACCCCATGGGTAGATACTATTGTTATTATCTGATAACATAATAGTGTTATATTGGTACTATCTGATTTATTATTTTAATAAATATCTTGCAGGTGCTACTACTAACATCAAATCTTTTTCTGGCAAATTGTGGGGGCATAAATAATCGATGAGGTAAAAACAGTAACAGCTGATTTGTATTGAGTGCCTTTATGGGCCAGGACTGTCTACATGCTGCATACATTCTCTCCTTTGATCCTCACAGCAACCCATTGACATATATCCCTGTTTCACCTACGAGGCCGCTGAGACTCAGAGATAACCTGCCCCAAAGCCCAGCTAGTTAGTGTCATTACCGCTGGAGGAATGGGGAGGAGAAGGCAGAGCTTAGGTTTTGGTGCTGAGTTCAGAGTTTGCCGTGGCGCCTTTCTGGTGTGTGACTTGGGAAATTCAGTTCAGCTTCTCTGAGATTCAGAATCCTCCTCTATAAAATGACTACCCTTTCCTTGTAAGGTTGTTGTTGGAATTAAATCAACCTAGGACTCATAAAGCACATATTAAAGAGCCTGGCCAGGGCAGATGCTCAAGAAATGGTTCTGACATCAAGACCTGTATTTTTCCACCACTCCATGCAGTATTTTCACAGGTGAGCCCATTGGATCCTCACTTTACACTCGAGGGAGGCACCATTATTATCATCATCCCCATTTTCCAGATGAGAAAACCCACCCAAGGCCATGTAACAAGGAGAGGGTCAGAACTAAGATTCACACCCTTGTGGACTGACTTCAGATCTGCCTCTTAACTGCTCTGCTCTTGAATGTGGAAGAAGCTGTTCTTACAACTTTAATACTGTTAATAGTTTAATACTATTTCTGATACCTGTTTCTATGCACATTAGCACATCCATACAGCAACAAAACATATGATACACATATACACATGCACATACACTTACACATATGCACATTCCAGGTATGCATTTCTACACACATCATGTTTCACATAATAATCATGCAAAATGGATAAATTTTACATTCCTTGTGCCAGATGAGGTATTGGGGAAGGACTAGGAGTGGCCCCCAAACCATTCTTTCCTTCCTTCATGTGTCCCTCCCTCCCTTCCTTCCATCCTTCCTTCCTTCCTTTATTTCATTTCTGGTGTAGCAGGAGAAGCAAGTCTTAGCAGCACTTAGACTACTAGTGCTTGGGTTGATTGCTTTAGTTAAGGAGGAATGGGAGAGATCTATCAACTCATATTCAGCTAATTTCAGGCAGAAGTTTAAAGGGGAAAAACAGGCCCATATTTTACAGTCTCTTCCCTCTGCACAATCTGCTGTCACTCCAACTTAGCCCAGAGAAAATCTCAGTTCAACAGTTTTCTCTCCCTTGTGTTTATAAACACCTCTAACAGGGTTGTTCTTAATCGTTCAGTGTCCTAGACACCTTTGCACATCTAATGAATGTATGGAGCCTCTTTCAAGAAAAATGTACTATCATCATCCACATTAAATTTGCACACAATTGTAGGGGACTCTAAGTTCCTTTTTGAAGCTCTAAGATATTACTTTTACTCTCTCAAATCTCTTTTCTTTTGTCCTTTAATGCATTCTCCTTTAGGGCTATGAGATATTCATTTGAGTATGCACTGAAGACAGACAGAGAGAGCAGGGGGAAGAGAGGATGAATCTTTGGCTGTGTTAGGATATGCCCACTGTCAAGGTGATAATTTTTTAGGCAACACCTTCTTCCCAGCTATCTCAGCAGTTTCTGCATAAGGGAGTGGATCATCCCATAGCAGAGCCTGTCTCAGTCATGAGATGTCTCAGTATGAGCTTCTGGGTTTGGGTCCCAGACTCCACCTAACGGTGCTGCAGCCTGGCTTCTAAGAGCACCCAACTCACCATAGTCCAGAGCCCGCTGAGTCACCCTCGCCTTGATTCCAGGGTAGATGGTCTGAGTGGACGATCTGCAGAGAATCCACAGGAAGAAACATCCCCAGAGGACTTGGGCCATTCTTGCATGCATCTGGAATTAACCAGCATTTATGGATCCTTTATTATTCCTGATGTTTTCATCAGTCAATTCCATGCAGTGTTTCTCGGATTTCTCATTTTCACTGCTCGTTTCCAGAATGCAATCCACCCACCCATCCATATGCCCATCCATCCATCCATCCATCCATCCATCCAGTCATCATTTATTGAACACACCAGAATATGTTCTAGGTGCCAGGGATGTAGAGATTACCTATGTGTGGACCCTGACCTCTGCTTCCCACAGACTAGTGGGTGAATTAGACACACACACACACACACACACACACACAGAGATGATAACATAATACAATGTAATGCAATACAAATGAGAGCCTTACAGTAAATGTAAGGATTGGGATATGTCTTGGGAAGGAAAATGGGGGAGAGGTGAGGGATTCTTGACAGTTTTAGAACAAATGAATCAGCAGAGTAGAAAGGTGGCCTCAGTGGGTGTGAGGCAAGCACTCATTCGTTTAAAGACTCTCGATGACTCCCTCTTGCTCACAGGATAGGGTTTAAGCTATTAGCATGGCAATAAGACCTTTCACAACTGCTCCAAACTTTTTCCAAGCCCCTATCCCTTCTCTCCTGTCTAAGTGCTAGTGTTCTGAGCTGGCCACCCTGAGCTATTTGCTATTCCTCAATTTGTCAGTTGTTTCATAATTGAGGGCTTTCTAATTCTTCAGTGGAAACACACATGCTTGTACACATTCTCTTTGTCTCTCTCTCCCTTCACCTCCCATTTTACTCTCCCCCTGCCTCTGGGTCACATATGCACATTCTGTCTGCTGAATGCATCCCCCAGGGCCAGCTCCAGTGTCCCCTCTATGAAAGCTTCCCTCCCCATGTGATTTTGCACTGGGCTCATCACTCTCTCCTCTGTGCTTCCACCGCACTCTGTGCAGCGCATATGCATCCGTATGAGCATTCGACGTGATGAGCTTGCAGACAGGCTCACCTTCCACCACCATACCTCCAACCGCTACACTAAGCTGGTATCATTTCACATGGAAGTTTAAGATTGCCTCCCTACCTGTCTTACTGTTTCCCTTGCCCTTTTGGGCTATTCTCTACCACAGCCAGAGCGGGCCTTTTAAAATGCAAGTCAGATCTTGTCCCCTCTACTTACTGCCTTGTTAAAGCCCTCCTGTGATTCCCCATCCTACTCAGCTTTAAAAATCAGACCCTTCCAGGAGCTGCAGGGCCTTTCCCTTCTCCATGCCTCTGCCTCCTCATTGACCTCTTCCTGAAAGCACATGGCTCACCCGGCCCCAGCCTCTGTGGCTGATCTTCCTTGAACACTCTAAGCAGCCTGTACCCTGGGGTCTTTGCATATTTTGTTCCCTTTGCCGGGCACAGTTGTCTTCCACATGGCTACATCTTCTACTTTCTTCAGGCATCTCAAGTCTTATCTCAGTGAAGGCTTTCCTAGACACTACCACCATGACCCCAATATTCCCCATGCCCACCTTGCTTTATGTTTCTCCAAAGCACTTATCATTATCTAATGTAGTCTGTAGTTACTTATTTGTTTATTGTCTGTCTCTCCTACCAGAATTCTTAGGCTTCGTGGGGAAGAACATCCCTGCAGCAGCACCTTGAACAATGACTGGCCCAGAGTAGGCAGCGGGTAAATATAAACAACTGATTGAATGAATGAATTAATGTCTCAAGGTCGTGAGACCATGAAGTGGACCAGATATGCATTCTGAGTTCCCACAGTACACAGGGCAATCCTTGATCTTAATATGTGCCATCCTACATTGTGATTATCTTTACCACAGGGACTGTGTCTTCCTTCTATACCTCCAGGGTCTAGTACAGTGCCTGGCACAACAGAGGTACACAAAAATTTTAATTAAAGAAATATCTTCTCCAGAGGGAAGGGTCACATTTCTTTACTGCTATTTGCTAGCGCTTGGCATATAGTAAATGTTCAACATATGCTTGTTGAATCAATGGACTCAATGAACTAATGCCACCCAATTTTCTTGCTGAATGAAACAGAGCTACCAACAGCAACAGTGCCTTGCCAAAGACCCACAGGTGTCACACACATGCCAAAGACCCACAGGCGACAGACACCCATTGAGTTAACATGCAAACATAAAACAAATCAGGGAGGCATTTGTGGGTGTGGTCACGGAAGAGGAAGCTGTAAGAGCCGTTCATTTAGAGAGAGGGAGGGGTCAAGCCAGGCCAGGGAAGGAAGGATTCAGAGAGAGGCTGGGGTTCGGGAGCAATCTGGATGAAGGAGAAGAGGTCATTGTAAGAGATGTGTGTTGGGGGGATGCTTGGTCAAGATAAGTGAGGGGTTTGATAAAGTGGGTTGTGTGGGCTTACGGGAAAGGCCGTAGAGGTGGGAATGGGATGATGTGGATAAAAGGGTGTTCCAGAGAATTTACTTGAGAGGAACAGAGAAGCCTGACCAGAGGGAAATGTCTGAGCAGAGCAGTTGTTAGTCTATCTTGGGCTTTTGTGTGACATGGGAAGATGGGGCCTTTGGAGATATACCAGCTTTCTGGCACAAAGAAGGGCCAGTGAAAAATGTCTTAGGAAACCCCACACCAGTGTATCCAGCTTATCCAGCTGGTCTACTCACCCTTTGGGCTGGCATTTTGTCTAGTTTGCAAGCTGCCCAACTTACTTAACTGACCTGTGCTCAGACAGCGTATCTTCAACTCAGAGGACAGGGTTATATATACAGCTCATGTGGGTATCTTGCTGGAGGGCCTTGTGGTTGAGAATTAGGGTCTTGACCTGTCTGTTGTACAGTGCATAAACCCACCTTCAGGGGTGAAAAGAGGCTGGTGTATATTTTCTCATCTGATTTCCCAGGAGCCCTCTCTGTGCACCCCACTTTGCAAACACACTGAACTCCTGGTCCCTAAACTCATGCCATGTTTCTTGCTTAATGCCTGTGTTATACTGTTCCCCTTCAGCTAAGCCTGCAGAAACCCTGTGCATCCTTAAGGCCCATTTTAAACACAGCCTTCTTTGTGAAGCTATTTCTGACTTCCCTAGGCTAATTTCATTTCCTTCTGAACCTTCAGTCATAAAACGTATTTTTCAAGTGTGTATGTTTATTTTCTTTTTTATTGTTTGTCTCCCCCACTGAATGTAAATGTCATGTGGGCAGTGATCTCATCCAGCTTGGCGGTCCTGGAGCCTGGCGGAGCGTCTGACACAGTGAGTGATTGGTAAGTGCTGGTACAATGAATTCAGTGAATCATGAAGGAAGAGCTTTTACCTCACTTTACATGATATCATAGTACTTTGCAGAGCTGATTAACAAAGCATTTTTACACTAGTAGAGTGCTTGCACCCATCAGAACAGATTGGCCACAGTCCTGGAACAGGATTGGGGAGGTCAGGCATTGGATTATGGGGAACGGGGAAGTCTCAGAGGACTGGCCAGTGTGGTTGGGGGATGGGACTCAGAGTAGTCACTATCTACTATTAGATACTGAGGTATTTCAATATTTTAACACTGCTATGGCCTGTGCATTCAGTAGGATGCTTCAGCCCTATGGAGGTGGTTTGGGTTACATAAGACAATCTACAGAAAGACCCTGGGCAGCAGTGCTGAGGCAGGGCTAAGGAGGGGTGGTTCAGGGATGGTCAGGGTGCAGACAACACTAAGGGAAGCATGGAGAAATAAGAGTGAGAGCCAAGGGGAAGGGACTCGGGTAGGAGAGGAGGGCCTCTAGCCAAGCAACAAGTGATCTGAGGGCTGAAGAGTGGGATAAGCAGGTGGGAGTCCTCTACATTCTGGGAGGTAGGGTGATATTAACAATATCTTATACTCAGAATGGATGCAGGAACCAGGTCCAGCTGCTGTCTGTGCTAGGCCTTCCTTGATCCTATAGCTGTCCTGGGGGTGGTCAAGGGGTCCTGGAGATGGGGACAGGCAGACATGGATGTGACTATGGGAATGAGGGGAACACTCCTGGGGCTCTAGTTAGTTGCTATTTACCAACTGGTATAGAAGTGTTGTCACATTTTAAGCCATACTATTGTGTAGTCACACTAATATCACTTGAGGCAAAGAATTATAAATGGATTAAGTCATGCCAAGGCAGGCATAAGATGGATTATTTTTAAAAAGAAGAAAAAATTTTCATAGCAGTGTAAAGCGATGGGAAAAAAAGGTTAGACCAAGAAGACTATACCTATTAGACTGGATGTAAATTGAGCTATAAATGATATCTGCTGGCATAGGATATCTGCTCCATAAATATTTGTTAACTGATCAACTGACTGGTTTATAAGATTCTGGTTAGCTAAGAGAGGTTCTAGGGGAAAAAAAAGAGAGAAAACCAAACCATCATATGAATAGCTCTGTATTTCTACAGTGAACAGCACAGTAAACCAAAGCAGAGGTATTACTTGCTCAATAACAACTAACATAATAAGCTTGTATTTCTTTACCATTTACAAAGTTCGCAACAATTCTTTGAGGCAGATGTTACTGTGACCCTACCCTCATTTTGCACATATGGACACACAGATTTAGACAGTCCGAGAGACCTGAGATCACATAGTAAGTCAGGCATCTGGGAATGAAACCTTCTTCTTCTGGCTCCTAATTCTGATGTTTATGAGAGTTTTTTTTTTTTTCACTTAATGACTTGGTAAGTGCTAGATTTTTCATTTTCAGCTGGGAATTTTAAATAGGAGTTTCTCGAAGGCATTGAGAAAAATTGTTAAGCATCTGGAAAATTTCAAGCATCAAAGTGCAAATCCCTTTGTAGTTTCTTGGGCCCAGATTTTAAATTTGACTCTTAAATTCTCTTCCAGCAGCAGAAATCTGTTTTCCCTTCATGTTTAAAGGACGTTTCTGAAGTGGTCTACTTTGATGGAAATCCAGGAACTCAAAATTGCACATAGAAAAACATGCTTTTCCTCTAGAAATTTTATGAGTGAATGAAATTACTGGGGTATAAGGGGATAGATTGTACATACTTTCCAGCTGAATTGTTTGGTTAGGATGGTAATTTCTGGGCAGGGTAGGAAAGAATACCTTGTCAGGCAAGGAGATGACTCCCAAGAGGTTAAGTAATTTGGCTGACAAGTAAGGGCAGGGTGAGTTGTCTGTTAAAAGGAGGGATCCAGGATAATTTAAAAACCCTGCCAGCAAGTTGCCTATTTTGTTGCTTCTGAGGAACTGCTTCTTTCCAAGATTCAAAGCTTCAGAAGCTGTTATATTTCCATACCAATAACACAGACAGAATAGCACTTCTAAATTAGATGGCCCTTACTGGAGCCATTCCAATGATTAGAAATATGAAAACTCTAGTACAACTTACAAAATTTTTGAGACAGATCAGCTTACCGTTACTGCTCAAGAGGAGAGCTTTGATAGACTCTGGAAAAATTGATTAAAGGAATGGTGAGTGAATGAAATGTGGCCTTTAAAACCGAGGCAAAACCCCTCAGGCAAAACCCCTTCTACATTCTGGGTAGGAATGTAAATTGGTGCAGCCACTATGGAAAGCAGGGTGGAGGTTCCTCAAAAAACTAAAAATGGAAATACCATACCACCCAGTAACTCCACTTCTAGGAATTTATCTGAAGAAAACAAAATCTATGATTTGAAAAGATACATGCACCTTACGTTTATTGTTACATTTTTTACAATAGCCAAGATACGGAAGCAGCCAAAGTGTCCATCAATAGGTGAATGGATAAAGAAGATGTGGTACATATACTCAATGGGATATTGTTCAGCCATGAAAAAAAAAGAAATCCTGCCATTTGTGATGACACAGATGGATGCAGAGGGTATAAGCCAGGTGGAGAAAAACATATACCATATGATTTCACTTAATGTGGAATCTAAAAACAAAAAAAATGAATAAAACAGCAATACTCATAGACACTGATAAGTGACTGGTGGTTAACAATGGGGGTGGAGTTAAGGAGGGTAGGTGGTAGGTGAGGTGGATAAAAGGGCACAAAATCTAAATCATAATGTAAGTTGGTCACAGGGATCGAAGTGCAGTATGGAGAAATATAGTCAATGGTTCTGTAACATCTTTCTGTGTTGACAGATAGTAACTGCACCAGTTGGGGTGAGGATTTAATAATGGGTGTAACTGATGAATCACTGTGTTGTATACTTGAAACCAATATAATATTGTATATCAACTATACTTGAGTAAAAAATACAGAAAAAAGAGGTGAAACTTCTACCCCAGTTATATTATATATTATCACCCAATTTATTTCCTTCATAAGAGTTATCAGACTTCTACTATCTTATTTTTAATTCATTTACTTTGTATTTACTTAATTATTAATTATTGTCCATCTCCTGCCTGGCACATAGTATGTGCTCAATAAATAGATAATGTAAAAATCCCCCCAAAGCAGAAGCAAAGTCTGAAAAATTAAGTTTAGTTGGTTTAAAGAAGCCTAGATTACAAGAACAATCTAACCTAATGGTTAAGGCAAAATGTATGTAAGAAGTCTAAATCAACAGGTATGGAATACAGGCAGAATTGGAGACATTTTAGGGGATTCAGCTCACACATCTGATTTTATATGAACATCTCTAAGGACAAGGGCCTTGAAAGTGTATGCCTCGTCCTTTTTCCCAAAACTCCACACTTAAAACAATTCAGGCAAGTGGGTGTTTGCTCTGGCAGGATCTAGTTCACTGACGTGCTTGAAGACCTGGCTCCAGAGCACAGAGACCGCAGCAGTTCCCTAATCCTACTCACAGTGTTTGAGAAACGAGCTAGAATTTTCTGCCACCATGCTGGGATTCCCACTGAAATGGAGACAAAAATAAGTCCAGGCTGTTGAGGACCTCCTTTGCATTGCTGAGTAATGCAACACCAAACAGGTAGTAGTCCAAACCAGCTGGCTCTCTTTCCTTCCTTAGAGCCGTTCATAGTCTTCTGGGTGAGCATGAGTGACATAAAAAACAAATACAAAACAAAACACAGAGAAACCAAGCAGACAATCATAACTCAGGATACATGACAGCTGGCTGTTGGAGATGTCCTGCCAGCTCTGGGACATCTCTAGCGAGAGGGCAATCCCGGTGGGGAGGCTGTGCACTGGCAGAGACCTGAAGTTTGTTTATGATTCTTACCTCTAACAGAGGAAGCATCCAAAGCTGGGGAGCACCTTCGATTCCCTCTGCCTTTGAAGTCGTGTGCTCTTCACTTGAGCCTTGAATTCAGCTGCCGAAAAGACAAGGTAATTCAGTCTGAATCATCTGGTGTGGATTTTTTTTTAATGCCTCTTTCAAAATGTGATACATAATTGCTCCACTTCAGTTACCCAATGGCATGAATGAGTACTGCAGTCTCTACCCAGATGAGCAGACAGTCCCTTCTATGCAATAATTACCTCCCTGCTGCTCCCCGCCCCCACCCCTGTGAAATTACTATGACTTCTTTAACCATAACGAATACCTCAAGATTTCCAATGTATTGAAAAAGGTTAAACTGCGCTGAATTGTAGGAGGAAGAATTTTCCTTTTTGGGATAATAAGTTGCCTTTTTTCCTGGTCAGAGTGCCCGCAGTGGATGATTTCACTATCTCCCAGAATACCTTTTGGACTTTTGCTGGATCAGATTCAGTCTGAAAGCATGAGGCTCAATAAGCAGGCTGATCTAGTTACCATCTTTATCTTTCAGGGTAGCCAAAGATGGCATCTCTAAGTGTCCGCTCCTTAACAGGTTATTGATGACTTCCTCTCCCAGCGTGCCTTTGAAGTAAGTTGGGTGGGTTCATCAACTATTACGTAACTTGGTATCTTTAGATTCTAAACCCCTTCCCTGCCTCCATCTTCCATGTTTCAGTCATTGCAAAGAGGGCCAGGGATCTGATTGTATTAAGTGTCAATGTCTTATTTACAGTTTCCTAGGTGAGACAGGGTGACCACCTGTCCTACTTTTCGCTGGATGTGGGATTTTCAGGACTAAAAACAGGGCAGTCCTGGGAAAACTAGGAAGCTTGGTAACCCTATTAAGAACAACAGACATGTTGGCTTGGCATTGTCTACACTTCTGACAGCTTTTCAGGTTTCTTATCTATCTAACTTAACTTTCCTTAGGGGTGAAATGAGGATAAAAACAGTATCTACCTGGATAGGTTCTGGTGGGAAAAAAATGTTGATAACTGTCTTAGTCTGTTAGAGTTGCTACAACCACAGACCAGTCTAAGTTAAGCTTATAAGCTAAAACCCATATCTTACAAACAATAGAGATATATTGCTTATGGTTCTTGAGGCTGGAAAGCCCAAGATCAAGGAGCCAGCCTGATCACATCTTGGTTAGGACCACTTTCCTGGTTCATAGCTGGTGCTTTCTGACTGTGTCATCACATGGTGGAAGGAACTGGGCATCTCTCCGGAGCCTCTTTCACAAGGGCATAAATCTCATTCCTGAAGGTTCCACCCTCGTGACTTTAGCACTTCCTAAAGGCCCCACCTCCTAATACCATCATCTTTGGGGGTTAGGATTTCATCATATAAATTTTAGGGGTCACAAACATGCAGACCATAGCAATAACCTATGGGAATGTGCTCTTGAACCTGTAAAGTGCTGCAAAATTTTACTTATCAGTATGAGCCCATATCAATGGTGATATGAGCCTGAAGACACTCTCCTTATAGAATCATTTATTGTCAGTCATCATAGATTAATTCATTCATTCAATCCACAAATGTTGGGCACCTATTATGTGCAAGATCCTCTTCATTAAAAAGGCAGAATCCTTGTCCACATGGAGTTTATGTTCTAGTAGATAAAAATAAACAAGTCGACAACAAAATAAACAAAAATGTATAAATCACGACTCTGTGCTGTAAAGAAAATGAAGAAGCACAGCTGGTGGGGTGCTCTCATAATTGGTAGGGGGATGTAATTGGGGGATGCACGCTTACTTTGTTAGGATGGTCCAGGAAGGTTTCTCTGAGGAGGTGTATTTGAGCTGAGACCTCAGCATTAGACCCCAGGCAGGCAAAACACTGAAGGGAATAGGTGGACGAGCAGTAAAGGAGGGCCAGTTTGTCTGGAATGTAGCAAGGGGCAGAACTAATGGTATTAGACATCTAAGTGGTGATGTCAGGGGGGTAGTTGGAATTCCAGGAAGAGGTCACCTGGAAATACGAATTTCCTAGAGGTACAATTAAAGCCACAGAAGTGGATGAGATCATCTGAGGCAGTTTCCCATGAAGCAAGCATGTGCTATCTGAGGGATGCAGGATACTTTCATGTGTTACAGAGATTTTGTATTTCGATTATTTTAGTGTGTTATGGAAAAAAAATACAGAACCAGACAGAAGAAGATGAATGATATCACCCATGACATGGAAAAAAATTCATAAAGTACCTCTAAATATTTTCATCCTCTAGTCAGAAACTTCCCTGGGTGGCAGTACCAGTTTCTCTCTCTTTCTCTCTCTCTCCCCATAGTCCAAATTTTCCTCCTACCTCTTCTCCCCAGAGCAGCTCTTGACTCTGCCTTCTTCCCCTGTTTTCCCACCACACTTCCACCCTCCATTCTTTTTTCCTATCAGAAAGATTTAGATTTTGCTCAGCCTCCTATTTGTAGCTCATGTCTATTAACTGGCTGCATGGCATCTGCTGGATTTAGAAGGAAGCTGAAAATTGTAAAATAACTGTATTTTTCCTGAAGTGAACATTCATTTTTCTTTTTCTAACAAAAGCCCTGAAAGTCTAACCATATGCCATTGAAAAACTGAGTTGCCATTGGGCATCCTGGTACTTTCTGCATGGGGTTTGGAGAGAGTTCTCAGGAAGGGTGTCCTTGATGAATGGTGAGAGGAGAGAGTGAGATGTGGGGTTTCATCCCGCGGTTCTTGGGGGCACTCATCTCATGTGGACTTTCCCTGCCCACCCTATCCAGGATGCTGGGCAATTCACTTCACTCCTCTGGGTCTCAGAGCTGACATCTGTAAAGGTGGAGATCATATTACGAGAAAAGAAATGAGCTGGCATATACTAAGTTCATCATGGTGTCAGGAAATTAGATGCATTATTACTGTATTTGCTCTATTTTTATTTTAAATTGATAATTTAAAAGATGTTTTAAACAACTTAAAAAAATGTACAAAGTTTAGTTTTCCAGTTACCAAAGGGAAAGGGACTGGGGAGGATGGATGGGAAGGGAGGGATAAGGGGGAAAAAAGGGGGGGCATTACTATTAGCAGACATNTATTGTTTGTTATACTCTGGGCACCATCCATAGATTAATTTATTAAATCTCAGTAACCAAGACTTTATTAGGTACACATACTATCCCCATCTTACAGATAAGGAAGCTAAGAAGTTAACTAATTTGCCTAAGCTTAGGCATCACAGCCAGTAAGTCATGGAGCCAGGATTCAGGACCCAGGTGTTCTGCTTCTGGGAGCCCGTGGTCTTAACTACCTTTTTTAGCTGCCTTTTAAAGGAAGGGCACAGAAGGGCAACCCACAGATGATGTGGAAGGTGGGATGTATTGCTAGGCAACACACCTGGTTTTCCAAGCTTGTAACTGAGTGTGCGTGAGCAACACAGAAGTATGTGTTTGAAATTACTCATTTACTCCTGACTGGAGGAGAGCTGCCTGGAATTTGGGCGGCTCTCGAGAGCAGTGAGAGACCCTACAGTTCACGCCAGGAAGGCTGGGAGACATGTGGCAGACTTGCCATACCAGCCGGCAGATCTTTCCTGTCCTCGCAGCTCTGGCTCAGGCCACGCTCTCCTGACGTCTGTGTGAGGAGGCGTTGGGGTGGACACTGATGACTGAGTCACCACGGCTTCTCCCACCAGTCGTGCCCTGGAATGGTTTACAGCAAAGACACCCTCTCAGTTTTGAAAAACGAACTCACTCACTTGCCTGCTTACTCACTTACCCCTATTTATTGCCAGTTGCCTTAAAGAGTTATATTTTATCACATGCAGTTCAAAGTGAATTTACATTTTTGCTAAATTTCAAAGGCTTTTTGTGAGATGTGAGGGATATTGTGGAACCAGGCAAATGAGACAGTGTGATGCAATTCTGAAATGTCTGAGAATCCCTGATGTGAATCCAATTCCAACAGACCAGGATTTCTCTACCTGGCACTACAGACATTTGAGGTACCTAATTCTTTGATGTCGGGGGCTGTCCTATGCACTGCATGATGTTTAGCAACATCCTTGGCCTCTGTCTTGATGTCAGCAGCACCACTCTCTCCTACCTTATTTGGGACAAAAATGTCTCCAGACTATATGGCAAATGTCCCTTGACAGGCCTCCATTGAGAACTGAGGAAATAAAGTATATTAAAGTACGCTCTCTAGCTCTTGCAGTAGAAAATGCCACTCCTCTTGAAGATCAGGTTCTAATATTCCTTATGTTTTGCCAATGAGACCACATCGTACAGATTAGTGGTTCCCAGTGTGTGGTCTCACAGTGGTATCACCTGGAAATCATCAGAAATCCAAATTCTCAAACCCCTCTCCAGACCTGCTAAATTAGGAACTCTGAAGATGGGACTCAGCACTCTGTGTTTTAAAAAGCTCTCCAGATGATTCGGAGACACTGTAAAGTATGAGAACTACTGGCATACAGATTAAAGCTCAAGATTCAGGGAAATGGATTGGATTTATAGGAAAACACCCAAACTGAGGCCAACCTGACTTTCTCTGGTAGAGACAGAATGAGGATCTTACTTTTCCAGATACATCAAGAACTCAAAGATAAGTATGAATATCTTTATATCATTTAAAATTTTGCTTAACCAATCCTCAGATTGGAAATGGAGTTTGAGGTTTGTTGAAGATGGTTAAAATCTGCTTTTTCTCCTTCAGAAACTATAATCTAGGATTGGAGAAAGACTTGTGTACAAATAATTGGTACAAGATGATATAAGGGGAAGGGAAGAGGTATTTTGGAATAGTGCAGGGTGAGTAGTCTTTGGGGTCATTGGTCAGACTGAAGAAAGTGGTTTCCTGTTGGACTATGAAGGGCTTTTTGTCATGTACAGAAGTTTGATTTATATCTAGAAAACTAAAGGAAACTCAACAAGAAAATAAACAATAAAACAGAAAGAAAACAGACCATTTAATTAAAAAGTGGGTGAAAGATCTGAAGAGATTCCTCACAAAGATCTACAGATGGCAAATAAGCATATAAAAGATAATCAGAATTGTCATTAGGAATTGTAGTTGAAACAATAAGATACAACTATACACCTATTAGAATGGCTAAATTAAAAAAA